TTTAAAAACGGATGCCTTCCTGGAATGTTAGTAGATGTCAATACAAGGAGGAATCTAAGCATTACAAAACCAACTCTGTTTTTTCGTTAACTAGAAAATAAAAACAATTATCTATCATAAGTCTTCACAGTCTTCCATTTTGTGTTTTAACAATTATCATTCTAGAATAATGGTTATGTAACGCAATCTTTATTGGATAATTTCCGGGACCATCTAATAACCCTAAAGATGGCGGCCATTTTTCCAGTTGAGCCAGATGAGCGACATTGTAGAAATTTAATGTAATGACATGCTCCAATGTGTTATCGAAATATGGAATGGAAAGTATGATTATCATCTTCGTGATATACGTCTATCCTCATTTCTCCCTTTCAAAAGTATTTATCGTTAACATCAGAATGTTGATAACGACAATAGCCATTACATTAAAAAGAGACGATATTCTCAATCCAACTTCGTCTTGTGTTATAACCAAAATTCATGACCTGATTGTCAGTATATGCATAAGAACATGTATCCCCTAGTATTTTGATTATTTTGTTTCTTTTATCAGAGTTTATTTCAAATAATTTTGAAACAGCTTGAGGGATATTGGCTTGATGTAAGTGCAATGCGAATGTATTTTGATGATAAACGACATGAGAAAGTAACCCACATCAGCTATTTTTCCTGTTTTTGTTCAGTTCGTGACGCTGTGATACCATTAGTTTAAAATCAAGGATCTTGTAAAGAGCAAAAAGGGGTAATCTAATTTAATTTGAAGATAAATTTGAAAGTTCACGATAATAATTTGGTTGAAACCTACAATAAGGCTTTCTTAAAAAGTATGATGAACACACTCCTTTGAAGTCGTAGAAAATCATTGTACTTCAGGCTAATAATGGTTTGCCTTAAGTAAAACAAAAGATAAACCAATGAAAATTTCAAAAACCACAAAAGAATAATAAACTTGTCCTAGATCTAATATACCAATACAAATCTAGGTAACACAGGCATGCTTGTTTTCGACAAAGAGGTCTATGGAGACTTAATACTACAAATCGTCCTCCATTTTCAACCAGAGACTGAACAACAAATGCGACATATATCAGTTGTCGTCTAGGTAACAGTGATGTGATGTACCTACAAAGCAGTAATTGCACTGCTAATGTATAATGGGATTTACAACGCATTTCCTTAGTAACAATGAATTTAACAATTGCAAAATAGATTTTTAGCGATAGCTTATAGTTCTGTCTCATTTTAACGATCTGTACCCACCGAATGTCACAGAATAGTTGTCTTTCAAGTTAAATAGTAATCGGGTCAAATTGAGAATTTAAAACATATTGTGCTTTGAGAAAACGGTTACCTTTCAACTGTGACCGCCTTATTTATGTAATAGTTACTACCGCCTCTGGTGTTTTTAACTAAATTTGTATTTGAAGGTGCTATTCACTTGTGTCGCTTTTGCACAATCTTTGAAATAACATATATAGTCGCTGCTAGTGATCTATTAATCCCCGAGGATTGTCGTGACCTGCATGCCAATTTTCAGTAGAGACAAAATAAAACCCTTAAACTGCAGTATAAAGTTGTTTCGTCCACTCCGAACTCGTCAGTGATGATTAGGGCCTAAAATTTGAAGTCTTGGAGGCGAATAAGGAAAATCCAAATTCATCGACAGAAAAGTTAAACGGGAGGTACATCATCTGACATACTAATATCTCACATTCCGTGTGTTTGTAAATATTACAACATTAATTCAACATTTGAGATTTCTGTTAAGTTGCGATCGATGCCACAGTTAAACAAGATTATAGTTCTTTATTTTATGTTATCATTTTTGTAATCTTTGAAAAAGTCCTTTGTTTATTTTGACGAGATTTAACGTCGTTGCAACAACATGGGTTATATAAGAACGAATGTCAAGAGGGATACAATAAGAAAAAATCACAGAAAGAAAGAGCAAACAGGAAGGAAGAAAGTAAGATCCCAATGGGATCAGCAGATCTATTTTAGTCCCTTAAATATCTCTTTAGTAACAATCACGGAAGAAAACGGATGATTCATCAAGGCCGTTTATTTTAGCTTCCTAATATCTATGGAATACAACAAAATTTATATCGGGCTCTCTGATGTCCCAAAAAGCACTGAAGGAAACCAATATACTAATTAATAAAATCCCACGTACAATCTAAATTGTGAAACTACGTTTCAACAGAAAAGAAGAGTTGTACTAACAGATGTTATAAGGATATAGCGTCGGAGACAACCACACTATGAAATACATGCATTCAATGTAATTAATAAATAACGTCATTAACGAGAAGGGGTAATCAGACAACACCCTCGCCATTGTGTCTCTATATAAGACAAATAAACGATTATATTATTAATAAAATCTTGTTCATAACGTCGGTTTTGGACGTTACTCATTCCCTCCGGTCGTCATGTCTGCTTGTTTCCTGAAAATGGTTATTAATGAAACAAAAACCTATTCTAGATGTGTTTAAAGCGTGCTGCTGCAATTAAATCATTTTTGTTTCAGACTCTTCAATCAGTTATTGACTTTAACCAAGTATATGTGACTAAAAGAGACGTTTCAGATGATATTTTTGTCTTTCACATTTCCTGTTAATGAACTATACTTGAGGGTATGGCTATTCATATAGATTTATTACAACCATCCTCGTTAACCAATTTTAGAACATTCTTCATAGTAATCTCCTAAATTAGGGATTACTAGTGTTTGAATTTCTACTTTTTCTGATCGATAACCTGAAGGAGAGTCATATTAGTGTAATGAATATCGCGTTTCATCATTTATCATCCCCTATTCCAGACATCAAATTATTTCGAGGTTTCTTGACAAGACCAAATCGCTTTCCGATAGCTTTACTGACGGATGTTAGAATTTCGATCAATCTCTGAATTCCATATTCTACATTTTTGTAATGGCTCCCGTTCAAAATTTGCATTCATTTACTTCATATATTATGTTCAGAAAAACTCATCTCTATTTATTTGCATTGAAATTGTTTTAAGTAGAGTTTCAGATTTTCTCAAGATCAGAGTAGATGCTAAATTTTCCAATAATTTTCAATGTCAGAATATTGTATGTAGTGGATTTTTGTACAGATCATACAAGTTTCTTTCCAAAACGGCTTGTAAAATGAAATACAATGAAATAAAATAAGATGGTAAAATGGTCTGCGGAATATTGATTCTAATATTAGATTTGTTATTATCTGTATATTCACATTATTTGACATTAAGAATTGTTTTAAGCTGAAATGTCTAGAAAGGCGGATTTTCGTTTTCATCAATTGGCCATAGCCATGCGATAACTACGTAGGACACGTCGATTAGAGATACATAATGACTATCTATATAACCATACCCTCAAGTATTGGCCACACCACATTTAACTCCTTTGCATGCTTCTGTACAATCTTGTCTATATTCTGACAATGATTTACAAGCCTTTTTATGTGTTTTCCTCGTTCGCCTTCTAGATTTTTTAGAGATTAGAAAATTGACTTCTCTTTTAGTCCCATAAGTGTTTTTATGCAATCTTTGACTTCGCAGGTGGTAGGCACTACTGATGGACTTAATGTCTTCGACGTTTGCCGTGACCTACTTGTCTAGTTTGAACTCGTTTTAATTCTTGTAGTGGCACTGTTCAGAATTTACACATGCACTGATGTTTTTTGGAAATTATTATATGTTAGAATCTTTTTCTTTTGTTTGATTTTTATTAAGTCAAATTTGAATTTTTTTAAAGTCCCATCAATAATTAAAACTTTAGACCTGTAGCATTACTGACGAGTCATAGAAGGATGAAACAACCGTATGATAGAATTTAATTCGATACAAGGCACTACTTTCTTTCATTCTATATTGGAATGTATAAATCACTTCTTTTACTTTTATACATTTTTGTATCTAAATTGAATTTGATATTATTTCTACACTTTCTAAAATGTAGCCAAACGACTATTAAAAATGACTCTTTATTTACGTTAACAGAATTAAATGGTTTCCGGTAAGGTTGATAGTGTCTTCTTAATAGAAATATATTACAGTGATTTAAAAATTATTTTTAATTTATAAATTGTGATTGACGAGAAATACTATCACAACGTAGCCTAGTTTTCTTGTACAATATTGACATTTACGACTATTAGAAAATTTCCCAAAGGGTTTTCTAAATCCCAATAGCATACGCGAACATTCTATCAATTCCGTATAATTCTCATTAACACCACACTAAACGAGTACCCAATGTCTGCTACAATCTCATATCTTGTGTATGATTCAATATCATTTGGTTTGTTTGTATATATGCGCCTGAAAGGCCTGTGACTTTCATCAAAAACAAGAAAATACCAACATGTCAACAATATCATAATCCAAATTCAATCAAACTGGAGCAATAGATGAACAAATTTTCACAGACTCCTGAAAAAGTACAAGGATAATAAGACCAGGTGTTCCGGAAGAGTAATTATCATCTGCTTCATCGACGACACCCACCATGTAACTCTTGATGAATAGTGTCACGTTCTCAAATAAGGTATACGACAACGGAACCAACAGGCAATAAATATATATCGTTTCGGAAAATTGGCGCAATGTTAAATCTGTTTTTTGTTTCATAATTATGTGATATTTCCTTTATACTAGTGACCTAATTATCCATCTATTGTTAAGGAATGTGACATTACTTAATTGAATTGACGAAGATTTACATTGCGGGTGTTGTCGATGAAGCAGAAGACGATTACATTTTCGGAACACCCGGTCTTACTTTCGTTTTACTTATTTCTGGAATCCCCATTAATTTTTTTTATATTTTGCCCTATTATTATTGAATTTAAAATTCAGTCATGATTATGTTGACATGTTTGTATTTTTTTTGTTTTTTAATGTATTGTTATCCAATTGACATTTTTTCAAAATCTGACTCTATACTGACTAAATTTAAACTATATGTAAAACGTACATTTCTTTTTCAGGTTCCCCAGATCACGTTCCTCTCTATCATGTTGCTTACTATTGTCATTGGAAATGCTTGTGTTCTAGCGGCCATCATGCTTTCCGACAACGGCAGGAAAACTAGAATGAATTTCTTCATCATGCATTTGGCAATATCAGGTATTTCATCTAAAATTGAAACATGTTTTTATCATAGTTGTAATACTCTTTGTTTTGAATTTGGAAATAATAAGAAGTACCAAAACAAAATTCTGTTTGTAAATAATCGATGATTTTGTACTTAAATTTACAACATCCAAGGACATTTCTAATTGAACAAAGTCAAAGAATTAATTTATTAGATGAGGAAATATGCAAATCATAGAAGTGCGATTTAAACTTCATTTTGTAACATTACTGGCATGGCAGATACCGTTATACAACCCATCATCAAACATTTCTTTGGATGGTAAACAAGTTGATTTTTTGCTGACATGTTGATAGCCACAAAGCTTTATGGTGTGATGTCATAAAGACGAATAATACTGAAGAACTGCTAAAAATTACAGTCTTTATAGCCATCACTATTTGATGTAATCATGGCATGTCATAAAACAATTCAGTTATTTGTCAGACATGATAATGTGAAATATTTCACACACAGTACATAAAAGGATATGCAAAGGATTGGCAAGTAAATAATGGCTTTTGGCGCCTTGTTGATATGCGTCTGTATGCTAGCATAGCAAGAATGGATTATATCGACTGCAAATTAGAGTACACTTATTACACAATAAATACATACAAGTTGTCTAGAATGAAATGTACAGTTATGATAAGAAGAAAACTATTTGACGTAACATATTGAACCGTTATTACTGTGAACGCCAATATTTTCACTGATATGTCAACAAAATGCTTATCAAGAGTCTATAATTGAAGTTACTATCCGACAGCATCTTTTTTTCGTCGGTGTATCTGTATTCAAAACAGGTCCAGTCAAAACAAACGCATCTCTATAAAACATTAAATAAATACACAACTCAAATTCCATAAAACTACGGCAAAATATGAACAAAAGAAAGTCTTACAGGAAGATTCCAGAAAAGGTACAAGAATAGATGTTCCGGAAGACAAAGCGTCTTTTGCTTCACTAGACACTAGCCACGAAAACATTGGTCAATCCAAGCAATTCTGAGAACAAGGTATACAATGAAGGAATCAACAAGCAATTTGCATCTTTTGAACACCTGTGTTCGTTAACCCAAGTAGCGTAATACTCACAATTGCAGTTCAGTGTATAAGTCCATGCATTATGTATACAAGTTCTATTCGGTATAAGATACAACCTTTTATTGATGTGATGAGGGATTTGTTTGACAAGGATCTGGTAAATATCACAGGGGTTACATGAATATTTTGCTATGATATGTTTCATCAGCCCGATTAATGTTATATGGTCAATGATTATATCTCATTTATCATACATAAAAAGCAATAAGTTAGCAATTCAGAATTCGTATAAGAATTATCAACATCATTATTAAACGAGCTGTCAGATGTTTTTTTTTTTTTTTTATATGTCGTTAACAAAAACACAATAGGTTAGCAGGACGAAACAGCTGCTTGATGCAGTTGAAATTATTGTTTTGCTCGACTGTTTCAAACTCTAAATTTGTATTTGACGGTGCCATTCACTTTGTACAATCTTCGAATTGATATTCTTGATATTAAGACACAATTACTTACATGACGTTATTTGGGTCTGGGTTGTGCGAAACATTGTTTGTTAACCCGGTCGTTGGTATAACAACTCACTTTTTTTTCTTTCAGATTTATCCGTCGGGATATTCTTAGTTTCCATTGATCTCGCCGATAAAATAGTGATTGAATGGTTGGCTGGTAACGCTTTATGTAAAATATTGAATTACATGAAGGTAAGGTATTACGGTATTCACAAACAATATACTGTTTTCATGTTGTAACTTGTGCCGTGTCGGCAGGAAAATTATAACGTTGAAAGCCGACTTATTTATAAATCATAGCAACAATAGGCACTGGTAATAAATTCTAATAGCCTTTGTGATAAACTTAACTATGATCTCCGATTTTGTCCAGTTCTGTCGAATTGTCGAAGTAGTCCTGATTCTAAATTGCTGGCACTATGTCCCATAATCACAATTACAAATATAAATAACATCGCCAATTATTGTATTTTAATGTTGGTTTTAGTTGGAAGACCCATATTGCTCTTTTTTCATGAAAACGGACAGATATATATTTCATCATATGTTCATCGTCTTAACAGTTGAAACAAACATCATGAGATATAGAGAAGCACTATTGAAAAAGCTCTATCATCATAAGTCAATATTTCTTCATTGAAGTATATAATGCAAAGTATGTCGGGCGAATATATTCGTTTAAATATAAAAATATTTTGAGCAAGTGATTTTATCTAGATGTGTGATTATAATACATGTTTCTGTTTCTATGGCAGATTGTCGTACTTTACGCCTCCACATATGTTCTCGTATCCCTCAGCATCGACAGGTTCGACGCGATAGCCAGACCGATGAATTTCTCGAGGCGAGGTAAGATGGAGTGGTTACCATAGTTTATTAATGGTGGTCGATAAGATTACTTTTATTGTTTACTACAATGTCGTAAGAACAAAAATCCAAAATTGTCGTTATCAGCAGTGGTTCTTTTGTGCTTTGTCGTAGATGGCGCCGTTTGAGTAGATAACAAAATGATAAAGTAACTGTTTCTACGTCATGCATCCTCTGTGTTATTTACGTATTTGAGAGAATTAAATTTTGTGAAACACTGCATTCTCATGTTAATTGCATGGCCATTGACAATATTTGAATGTTCGATGGTGCCACTGAATGCAAAAGTGACGTTTCCATGTTCCAACAATCATTTTGAATTATGTGAGGTTATTGTTACTAGTAGATGTTTGTGTCTCGATTTTAAAAAGATGACAATTTGATAAACAATTAATCACATCTTATATTTACAACCAAATAAAATTGGAGACAGTTGTACAGTTTTGTCACAAACCATTTTTGATGAATAAAGTCTAATTTGAGGAGGATATACTAACGCATAGTAGGTGGCGATACCCTCCATGATAGCTATCGGCTGTTTATCAACTTTTATTGACAAAGCTGATTTTTAAACGCCCGTCCAAAAATGTGATGATACATATTATGGTAAAGCGTTGTCCGTCCGTCCGTTATAAATTTGTATTTTTCTGAAGAAATTTTCTAGTTTTCAACCGTTTTTTTTTTATTAATTTGGTATGCTTAATCGCTATGACATGAAGATATGTTTTCTTGACTGGCAATGTGATTCGTCGCTTTTGGAAGAATAACTGCCCCTTGTTTTTATATATTAATTTTGTCCGGATACCTCCTCTCTATGTTTTCAAGCGATTTCATTGAAACTTAGTTGTTGTTATGAAGTTATTCTGAACAGATTTCATTTTAATTGATTTGAACTCCTATGAAGTTATTCATGACAAGTGAACTCCTCTCAGTATTCAACCGATTTCAAACTTTCAGTCATCATCACCATGACATAAAGTTGTATTTTCCTGAACTTTTTTACTTTATTTTATAGAGTTACTACTCCTTGTTGTTTTCGTCGTGTTGATGTTATCCAAAATTTATTTCTTTCTCTCCGATTTCTTTCAAACTCCATATTCTTAAATCACCATGATGTCCTACACAGCAGTATGATTCAATATTATTTGAAGGATATTTGTCTTTTTTCGCAACCTTTTAAATTTTATACAGATATCTCCTCCATCAGTTTTCAAACAGTTCTTTGAGACTTGGTGGGCTGGCTAAATAAAATCTGGGATTGATTTCTCGTTAATGACATTGTGATTAATTAAAAAGTCAAATCCTTCTATTCAACAATTTTATTTTGTCGAGATATAGCTTTCAATTTTCCGCTCATGTCTTTAATATTTGATATGAATTAATTTATCATTGAAACATATAAAACCCTTTTCCCTCTTGACTTCTCATTACAATTTTTATATTTGTATTAATTTTTATGCATGTAAAACAATCTTGAATATTTCTTTGGCATAGGACGGGCGGACATTTTTGTTTTTCTCCTGTTAATGTTGTCAATTGCTATGGTGATTTTGCTGATCATTTTCTTTTAAACATTAATCTTTCTTATCTAAAATGAAAATTGTTCTTCTCTATGTGGCCTTGCTGTGGAACCCTGACAGTTAAATGGAAAAACTAAAGCGTGTAATTGTAGCTATTGACATGTCGGTTAATTGTATCCAGCACAATTACAAAGTGTTCCATCAAATCAATTATGTACATATCTTCTATTCGTATATGAATAAAAAAGATACAATTCTCATGAATACCTATCAACATTAGAGTTTTACTCTTCATATTATTCTCTATGGACGTATTTTAGTGGCTTCTAATTGTTGTTGCTCAATAGGGGAACAAGAGGCCATGTATATTGTACAGCTGTGTGTCGAGCCCCTTTGATTATTTCTACTATTAAGCCCGCTTTGATAAATTGTTCGCACATGTATGTTCCTATGGGCGCTATTAGCCACAACGTTTAAGTCACGAATTTACGAAATCTCACATCAATTCCTGAACCCAATGAGCCAATGATTAAATAGGGGGTCATGCATCATGATATAAGCTATCGTCGAGCAGTTTTCCCGGCGGACGAATATGGTGTATGAGTATATAGGTTCTACGTTTACAATGGTTTCGATTGTTTTTCACGCCTTTATTGTATTTTATCTGTGCAACCATATATATAACATAGTTTCCGTTCCTTAGACATGAGATAAATTACTCGTGATAATTTCGAAATGAAACGTACACGCTTTCAAAAATAGGTTAGTTTGATATAATGCTTCGCTTGTTCAAATACGAGCAAAGTCAGTTATAAAAAATTGGGTCAGGCGCATTGTCAAACGATATGTAAGATAACTTGTTTTTATTTCCTGATATTTATTTGATCTTTGATGATAAATCTCCAATGATGTGCTTAAATAGCAACATCTAGGATTTTTTTACCTTGAAAGTACGAAATCAGAACAACATAACAAACTCCTATACAGTTGCAGTTGGGAAATCCCTGTGCTTGTAGAGGGAGTCTTTATTTGTCTCGTATGTATGTCAACTTTCAATACACGTTTTGATAAATTCATGAAGAAATGACTGTTGTGTTGATTGTGAAAACAAGTTTAGAAGGAAAACGTCAGTATTTAAGGATTTTAAAACGTTATTTCCTCTCAGATTCGAAGACTTGTTGGTTAAATGACATAAAGAATTTCACATCTGTTTCCTGCTCCATGAGATGTTTGTGATATAGGTTATGAAATTATTTTTCATTTGAGTTTGCTAGAAGCTCGTAAAAACTACTATGACCCCATCTTGATGACGACATAACAGGAAGTTCGTCCAAACTTACGCAATGTTAAAATTTATTTTCGTAATCAGGACGTCATGGGGCTTCAGAAAAATATTGGTTCGGAGGTTTGTGGGTGGGTGGGGGATGGAATGCACGGTGGCTATATATAAAATACACGTGTAACCAATGGAAAGCCTTTTGGTCTTGTTTAGCTTTCAGAGCCCGTATGTTGATCTACAGCGCGTGGATTTTGGCAGCCATATTTTCCATCCCGGCTTTAGTGCTGTTTGAGGCGAGGACGGAACCACAAATGTATAACATGACTCTGTGTACCATCAGCTTGACTGACTTTCACTGGAAAGTAAGTACCATGGGAAATCCGGATGGGGGAAAAAGAACAAAAATGATGCAAAAAATAAAACACTGTTATAACATTTTGTTTGTAAATGACTTTATTAGTTCCAATATTCTTGATTTGTATTTAAAGGTGATATTCTTTTGTGTGTCTTTTCTACAATCTTCGAGGTTGTGGGTGGTAAAAATTGCAGGTGGATTTTAAATCCGCGATATTTTTGCTGAACCTGCATACTGTTCATTCGAATGGCGGCACTTTATTCTAAGATTATCAGATGTATGGAAATTACGAAATGTTGGGCTAGTACACCTCCTCATCTAAGCTTTGACTTTTCGTCCGATCATTTTAGATTTTCCTGGGTCAGAATTTTAGTCATCGAGGTATTCCGTTGCATGCCACCTTTTTAATTCATTCGAATGGTGTCACCTTTCAGAATATACTAATGTATTTGATTTTGTTGTAAAGATATCTTATATAAGATCCACCTATAGATTCTGACTTTTCTTTCGATCACTTTGGATTTTCCTCAGTCGCCTCCTAGGGCTTTAATCTTTATGTCTTTAGCATCACTGACGAGTTCTAAGATAAAACACCTGCATGATGCAGTTTAATTAATTGTTTGCTCCTAATGTATCTTACTCTAAATTTGTATTTAATTTTTTTTCATTTGCGTGTCTTTTTTCTAAAGGATATCGCTTCAATTTGCAAATGTGGAAAAATCTTAAACTATGGCAAAAATATAAATATATAAATACATATCCATATCACTTAAACTTGACCACATGTTTACAGGGTAATACAGTTTTGTTTGGTTTAAAAAATCCTGTTTATTTTTTTTTTATATATGTTGCCATATATCTATCCGAGCACAGTCGGGTCACATACAAAATGTTTGCAAAGTTCGTCGTTCCGGTATTAAAACAATTGTAAATATGGGTTATGAATTTGTTCAATATATCTATGCATATATGTACTGCAATATCTCGAAAAATAATCGCAGAAGACCGTGTCTTCAACTACAATGATGATAATCAAAATGCCCTTTTTTGAAGTATTTTATAAGAAGACTTCGTTAGTGCAAATTCAATGTTTGACTGCTTATTTCTAAACTTCGTCGTCCTGTGTTTGTGTTTGCTTTAAAGCAATGATAATGACGTATATCAATAGTTATAGATAAAATCATTACATCAAATTTTAGACGTTTATCACAAGATCTGCTTTTTATTTTGAAGCATTAAGTTAACTTGGTTTAACTGATCGAAAAATCGGCGTTGTGGGTATTGTATCTGCCTACAAGCCTTTATGATTTTTTAAACGTCCGACAATAAAAAGAAAATCAAATGGTTTCCGAATGAGTATCAAACGGGTAGTGATATCTTTACGCCAAGTCTTCTACAGTCTTGATCTTTTAAATATATGTACTCAAGGGAAAATTATTGAAGATAAAAATCGATAAATCAGATGCCTTTATTTCAAGCAAAAATGGGTCAATGAAGAGATTGCTGAAATGAAACAATGTGTATAATAATACAAAGCTATTTCGTTTATGGCATATGACTCTATTTTAAACCAAACAGTTACGGAACAATACCTGCATCATATCTCTAGTCGCCATAAAATATCATTCATGTATGCTTCAAAATTCTATTTACATGCAACCTTGCCTGGTACATTCTGATGAAAATATTGCTACTGTTATAAATTATCAATAGTTTCTTTGATCGACAAAAATCTGAGCCTCACTGAGTGCCAATTTTGCGTGCTTTGTTGTTTCATCCGAGAGAATCTCGCCTACGTTTAAGACCATGATCTCCCTTAGGAATAGTTTTAATAGTAAATGCATTGTTTGAAGCAACAAAAATGGTGGTCAGTTCCCTATCAAATTTATTCTACTTCATTTAAACATTTTGTTAAGCCATAGATGTATGTACAAACGACATTCAAGTGAATAGCACGACTGAATATTATTGTAAAACAGACAGTTTAGCCAGACCATGAAGAAAACTGCATTATAAAGCTGTTTCTCCCTTCTTTAACTCGTCAGTGATGATAAAGAATTAAGTTTTCATACCCAAGACTACGCAAAAATCCAAAATGATCGAATGGAATTTCCATATATCTGTTTAGCAGAACGTCAAAAACATGTGCATATTACACTTTATATCTAACATAAATCATCATATTACAAAAAACACAGATTGATAAATAGCAGGTTTCAATTGAATTAGTGAGCTATGTTTGGAATGAAACTACCAAAGGCTAACAGATGAAAAGCGTAATTTACCCTAAATCAGAAACTTATAACAGCTCCTTGGAATATGGGGATACGTCCTTATGAAAGTCCTTCTGTGATATGTTTTGTGTGTTCTGCCAGAGAGAAACCCCGACTCTTATTCTAGATACACTTCCACTTGCAAACGTTCACTAATGACTGCATCATTAATGTTTTTTCTCTTTCACTGCAGTTATACTTCACTCTAGTAGCACTTAGTGTGTTCATCATACCTGCCGTGATAATAACCGTCTGCTATAGTGTAATTATCATCATCATATGTCAGAAGAGCAAATTGGATGGTAACAATGTCAAACAGACCACTCCACGTCAGAACGAAGGGGCAGGTAACTTATCTATAGATAGCTATTTTGAATTTTGGCAATACCTCGCTTGTTTCTGTTGCTACGTTAGCAACTTGATTGTGATATTGTTTGAAAACAGAAAGATGATAATGAAATCGAAACGTTCCGTTTGTTGGTGTGCAGTCGCAAAACATAAAGTCATGAACTTAGTGATATATCCAAAATATGTGGTTCGTGATTCCAAAGAAGCTGGGATAATGGATAGTCCTGTCTATCGCATTTGTGTTCCTGGGTTAGAATGGTTTCTTATTCTCAAGGGCAATACCGTTTGAAATACTTTTAAACACCTATTGCTCCTTAACGCTAACTTATGTCGAGATGATGATAAAAGTAAAAAAAAACTTGGTAGTAAGTAATCACGATACAGTTTATTCCTATATTTAGTTCGTAATCGAGTGGTTATGGCATACATAATGATATCACTTCCCATGTGTCTGGTCAACGAAACAGCAAAGTTAGTATAATTACAGCGGGTTATTATGTCACATCTTAGTCCTACCATACCGATTATGAAAGGTGACGAAACTTTATATTTTCTTTGTATGAATATCTTCTTCTTATTGTTTTTGTTTACACTGACTCACTTTTGGCATTTAGTTGAGCGTAGACCAAGTGAGGAAGGCTTTATGTTCTATAACCTGGCTGAGATATACCAGATTCTTTAGAAATAATTAATTTACTACTTCCTACTCAACGTTCAGAATTCTAGTAGTGTAATAACTGGTTTGCCAGTTGTCGATATCGGTATGATGTAACTCTTTGAGGTTTCCTACTGGAGACTTTAACTTCAGTTTGACAGCACTTTAAAGTCGGTTTCAGTTCCACGCTTTCGAAAGTAGGCTTACATTAGATTTATAGGGCTGTATTCACCAATGAAATGAAATGTGCACGAAATAGTGATTTTGGATAACTCTCGAAAGTTGAGCCTCACAAAAATATATGGCTTTTCGGTATTAGTGTTCTGAAAATAGTATCCTTAATTCAGCTTCTTAAAATATACTAATAATGATAATATTTGGTAATAAACAGTGAAAATGTTAATCTTCTAAATCCAATGAAGTGTATAGATTGTCTTTGGACAGTTTTCCTAGAAGGACGAGGATTTGGTGGCGCCCGGCATGGGAAAGGTTCCTCAGTGATACAGCAGGCGAAAATAAGGACCATAAAGATGACGTTTATAATTGTTCTAGGTAAGCAACAGCTAATGATAATGACTATTTATCAAATTTGTGATAAGAGTTATCTTTTCTTCCAATAACATTTCTTGATAAACAGATTTATTAGTTACCAATTACAAACAGATACACTTAAGATAACGGGATACAAAATATGTTTATTTTTTTTTTGAAACAGGGAATGGAAGGCGGATACTTTGCGGTGTTTGGGTGGAAATGAATTGAATTTCAGTTTTCTGTATACTTCTTCTTTTAACGTATAAAGAGTGCAAATTCGAATGTGTAGTATACATCCCTCTTAATGGTATTTCAAATATGTATAAGCAGAATGGAGTTAATGTTCACAGGGTTTCAAAAGACGTAGATAGATGAAAATTGTGCGGAAGTTTTACGGTCATCATAGTAATATCATTAATAAATATCCAATTTTTTTGACGCTCGTTAGTTAACTTGTTGGTTCCATGGTGTACGTTAGTAAGCTTGTTGGTTCCATGGTGTACGTTAGTAAGCTTGTTGGTTCCATGGTGTACGTTAATAAGCTTGTTGGTTCCTTGGTTGTATACATTGTTCTCATTTGAGATTGTATTTTTACTTGGATTGACCAAAGTTTACATGGCGGGTGTCGTGGATGAAGCAGTAAGCGCTTACTCTTCCGGAACACCATGTCTTATTATCTTTGTACTTTTTCAGAAATCTCTTTCTTTATTTGCCTTTGGATGTCCTCGGCTGTCTACATTTTGTTTCTCATACAGACGTTTCCACTTTAAATCATGTATTATTTAAGCTGGCACTGTTACAGTTATATATCAATATCATTTAAGATATGCATGTGTCTATTTTTCAGTGTTTGTGCTTTGCTGGTGCCCATATATAGTTTTCAACCTCCTCCATCTTTACGGGTTCTCTAATGAACAGCTAGAATCACCAGTCCTTAGAGCAGTTACTGTATGGATACAAAGCATGGCACCCTTAAACAGCGCAGTCAATCCTATCATCTATGGCGTGTTTAGCACGAGGATATGTCGCAACCTCAGGTATAATGATAGATATGTAAATAACAATAGATAAGTATGTTTGCAGTATCTCAAATCAACTCTCAGCCGTTTGCGAACTGTGAATAAATAGATTCATCATCGTTATTCGCAACAACAGACAATAAAACATACACACATGTTGTATACAAAAACGATTTTCATATAAATATTATTAAACTATATTGGCCAGGCGTTAATTTGTTTTGGGTTTTATTGCCTGGAAAGATCAGCCTTGAAACTGCTATACTAAGGCCATTCTACCTTTGTTAGTGAATATTCATGTTTTAAAATAGTCTCTCAATTAAGGACATTATTCTAAACATGTCATTGAAGTATAGGTTTAGGTCGTGACGTAGTAAACGGATATTTTATCTATACTTCACATTTTTGTTTAAATTGCAGAGGAAAGAGAAAAAATCTGATAGGTGCTGGAAATACCAGGCCTTTAATTCCACTTACAGACTCACGACCATTTCACACTCTGTCACAGAATATCACTCTCACACACAGAACTAGATAGCGCAGGTGAATTGCACGTGCATTTGATAGCATATTGATTATAATTTACAAATCATTGTTCCTTCATATACATATATATACTGTTTTTTGCATGGAATACTCTGAACTAAATTAAACCTTATCTCTTTAAATACTGTTTAAGCATCCTGGTATCCAGTTTCCTTTTACTAACAGTTAGCGTAACATGCTAATTTCTTAATTTATTTGTAAAATAATCAAATAATGTAAAGTCTTAACTTATAAACACATGTCTACTTGACATTCCTTCAAAAATAAACTTTGACAAGTATGGAATTTATTGAGATTTGGTGTTCGTGCACTTTCTCATTTAAAATCTTTTTTTTTACAATTATTTTGAGTATTTTAGATTTTCCCCATCCACCACCTATATATCAACAATTTAGGCCACTGACGAGTTCTGCAAGAACCAAATAGCTGTACCTTGTAGTTTAATTCGTTTATGGCTCTTATATATCAAACTCTAAATTTGTGTTCAATTTTTTTATTAACTTGTAAAAGTAGTGTGTCTTTTGTACACTATTGCATATATTAAAAGGACTGTAGATAGATTGGGAGTGTGTGTGTGACTTTCTGTGACTAATAGACACATTTTACTCTGTTCTTCATTAGAACAGTCTCCTTGTATATAAATGTAGAACGTCAGAGGTGATCATTGTTTTCATTGATGATAGATTTAAATGCATCTGACTGTAACTGTACATCAAAAAGTAAAAAATAAAGTTGCAACAAGCAAATAATAACTTAAAATAAGTACATTGTGCTCACAGGAAGTATATAATCCACATCAAATATGTTGATATTGTCCAACATTTAGATAATTGCAATGTTAATGGATTAGATTATGAATGAATACTCACTTCCCAGGTAGATGTTATTTTTGACAATAGCTGTGAAAGCAGAAGTATCTCGTTTCTTACACATAAGACAAATACGAAATACACGATGTCACTTCAATACTACGAAAGACATAAAAAAAATTTCTTTCATATCCAAATTCATAAAGGAAAATGATTGTTGTAGGGATCAGGATATTTATTCATTGTCCTTTGTTTTTATGTCTGTTGGTTCCTTTGATCTATACTTTGTTTTCACATGGCGGGTATCGTCGATAAGAGGCTTACTCTTTCGGAACACCTGGTCTTATCATCTTTGTACTTTTTTATGCGTCTCTTTCATATTTCCCTTCCTAGTTTATTGAATTTGAGTTTGGATTATGTTTATGTCGACATGTTCGTGATTTCAGAAAACAGAATATATGTCATAGGCACATCATTTCAAATGTTGGAGGGAAAGATAACCTTCGAAAAATGGCATTTGTTAATCATTTCATGTCGAGATAAGACAATACATTAAGCTATTGGGCTGAGTCAATTTCTGATGTTCCTTTCAAAATTTTATCAACCTAGAGACTGAATTAAAGAAGAGCACAATATCAATTTTTCCCCTCACAATCACATAATATTGTTAATATTACGAAAAAAAGAAAAGATGATTTGCGTTGTGGAAGTCTTTTTAGAAGAACATTTTCCTGTCGCGGAATCACTATTATTCGTAGTTTACCAGTGATAAGTATTCAGATTGACCGCAGATTAACTGAAAGTGGTGTATTACGGAACATGCATGTTGTTATGGTGTTATTGTATTCAGTATATAATTTATCAATAATGAAACAAAGGTTATGAATTAATTTTTTTCATATCATTTTATTTTAAGATATTCTGTAATCTAACTATGATTTATTTCAATATCTCATATATGATATATTTAATCTCATTTTAATTTACTCATTTTTTATTTATCTTAGTATTATGTGGTATATATATTTATATAAGCATGTCGTTATATCAATATGATAAAAACAAACAAATAACAATAAGAAAGCAAAAAAAAAAGGCACATAAAAAAAAAAAACAAAAATAAAAACAAAAACAAAACAAAACAAATTAACGACGTGATGCCATTCTAATTTCAATTATATTGTCATTATAATATTTCTTAATATTTTTTCAAACTTTTATCATCAAGATTAACGTTATAAAATGTATAAGTCACTATTGAATTTAGTAATTTAATTTTGCGTTCTTTTATATTTACTTATGCAATATCTTGAAATTAAGTCATTTTTAACGACTGTCTTCGAAATCCTGAAGGATCATCTTTTGTATACATTTGGGGCTATTCCTATGGGTTTGGATTAACTAAACGTGACAGTATTTAAATTAATATTGTCATATTGACTGGAAATTATTTCATGTGATGCTAATCGAATGTGTATGAAATACATACTGTAGTACTGTTTATTTCCGCCGGGGTTAATCTTTCGATTTCAATAGGCAAAACATTTTTACATCCGCGTATCAAATGTATATTTTGATATGTATGTTACAAATTAATTCGCGTTTATATCTAGTGTGAAATTCCCCCACGCTTTAATTTCCACATGTACAGTATGTAAGTCTTTACAAAAAGTCAAACAATTGTTAATATGTTGCTCGTTTGCCTTAAAAAACATATGGTGTTGTCTGAATTATAATGATTTATCTATCTTCTGTTTACAATTGTTTTTATTGATATATTAACAACAGTTTTATTACTATACATTATTACCATTATAAAATGTTTACTATACCAGCACAAAAAATTGACCTTTGTGCGTGAAAATTTCACTGAGACTGCTTTTGCCAAACACATAGATACAATTACATTGATAAGAAAAGACACAAATTGGAATTATGAATAAGTTTTTTTATTATGATCTGTGAAAATGTTTTCTGTTTTTATGTAACTATCACACTTAAAATGGAAACTTTATATCAGCGCGGAGAAAAATTAACACACGAGAGTCATTTGCGGCTGTTCTACTTATTTATCACCCTCCCACCACATATTATTATGTCGCATTTTACAAGGATTGCTCTACAGTAAATTTTGATAAAAATACATAGACGTGTAGTTATAGGGATTTCTGGTTACAGTTTATGTTAACTATGCTATTATAGAACTATTCCTCCAAGAATATATCTTAAATGAGGCGCTAACGTGATGTCATTCAAAAGATTATTAACGAAATGTACAACCTTTGTATCTTAGTTATGGAATTACCGCGTCTTCTAACTTTATCTTAGCATGTGTGCGGCAGATTTCTAGCCTCCGAAGTCACTTTCTAGATTTCCACACTAAAGACCCCTAGCAAAACTTACAGTTCACAGAAAGACGAAATGGTCTTCTGTTGTATTCAGCCTTTTCCCTCTTGCTATATTCATTCTGAAAGTTGGGATTCACTCTTGTGTCTCCTTTACAATATTTCCCATACGATACGGTATCACAAGAGTCTGTGTGACAAATTAAAGTGGAGTGGAGACATAAAATGTACCTGACATTTTTATATTATTACCATATATATATTATAGTATATGTGAAATACGAAACTTGTTGAATTATGAGGCAAGTGCACCTCCACATCAATATTTTGCTATTTCCTTTCAGAATTTAATAGCTTCGTATTTTCCGCGGTTACCTTTTCAGTTTCAAAATTTAGACCCACACCATAACTGATTTGTCTTAGGAGGACGAAACTTGTATGTTGGCGTTTGGTTTATAATTGAGCTCTACTGTACTTAATCCTAAATTGGTATGAAATGTGTTGTTTACTTTTATATATTTTACACAATCTTCAAATGTTTGGAATAAGCACAGTAAAATATCTACAATTCAATGTTTCAGGCGTATTCCAATATTCAATTGTATTGCTAACGCCCTATGTAGATGCCAACGTGTACGGAGTGTCGGCAGTAGACTTTCTCACACCACATCCTGGAATGATCCCACATACCTGACCGACGCTTCCTTCTCTTCAAAGTACCGCCGTCCAGGCGGAGTTCGAAGAACATTCTCCGATTCCGAAAGCACTGTGTTAGCTTCCGGTAGACATGCATATCCCAGGGGATCAACTCAACATGGCAATTTTCAACGGTCGATTTCCAGCAGCAGCCAGGAATTTAAGCCCATTGGATATCGTAGACCATCAGGCTTGCCATTAGTTAAACGAAATTTGACTCTTGAAGATAACCATTTGTTGAAATCTATCACTCAAAGACCAACCAATACAATATGTGAATCAGAAATATTGTAGGTCCTTCAACACGATCTCATAGTTACCAGTTTAATGATAACTTGTGTGCATTTTGAATTTTACCCTGAAAATGAAAAAAACAAATCACCGAATAAAAGGTGTGAATACCCATCGCAGAAACATGTTTGATTCAGATTGAGGATATATGTGTTTAGGATATCAGGATACACACACACACACACACACACACACACACCACACACACACACACACACACACACACACACACACACACACACACACAAACACACACACACCACACACACACACACTCACACACACACACACACACACACACATACACACACACACACACACACACACACACACACACAATAATGAAATGTAGGATGGTGAGCTTAATTCACACTGCTCTTTCAAAAGACCCTTTTCAAGCCTTCATATGCCCAATATATGTTACAGTTCATGTTGAATGCTTCAAATAGGATTATAAATATATTTATATATAAGTCAGAAAATGGCCATATATAACCAAGTGCTTGTAATATCAGGATGTGTATTTTTATACTGAAAGAAGTAAAGGACACAATGTTGTATTATTTTTCTGTAGTCATTTCATGAAATGTCAAAGAAAGTTAAATATATCTTATTCTTTAAATCAATTAAAACCCCATGATCCAAGTCCAAGATATTTTCCTCTATTAGTGTTGTAACAGTTCGAGTAAGGTATACAATATCAAATTCAGTAAGTGTTCCTTAGTATAGGAACAGTAGATTAATTTTAATGTGTTCTACAAAGTGTGTTGATCGGCTTGGACGATCTGGTTGCCTTTCACGCCAACCAATTTAGCTATCAATCATATATTTGTTAATTAATCATTGTATACCACCTTTGTAAATATTGTGGAAAGTATTTTTCTTTATATTGATATATTTCTCTTCTTCATGTTATTTTTATCATAATAGGAGAGAAAAGCAATCGCCTTGTAGAATGTGAGAGTCGACATGAAGAGAAAGTGTTTCTGTTTGTACTTATTAAGAATGCAGTGACAATATCTCTGAAGTATGGTACGTGTTTGAACTAGCTCTGAAAGTTAGTGTAATGCGTTTTTAGTCAGTTCTTTTTATAGCATATGTACCAATAACATACATTAGTTTATGTTTACGCATATGAAAGGTTGCAGTTTGACTTTTTTATTATCTAAATCATTTTCAAAGTACATTTTCGTTATGAAATAAAACCATCGCAATTGTATCAATAATGATAGCATATTGAAGCGGTTGTAAATCATTTACATTTTTCTGCTCCCTGTATCATGGTATCATGATGTTTCCATATATCAATGAGTATCCACTCTGTGGTGGTTATTTTAAATTAAAATAATTAAAATAAAGTATAGTTGTATATAGATCGATAATGAATATCAAAGATGTTCTCAAGCAAAATGTCTTTTTGTCGATTTTTTGTATAATCTGTTTTTTAAGATCAAATAGAATGTTTATAAAATCATCCCCTTATTACGAAATACCGAATCATGAATAACTTGGATATCTCGAAGAAGCTAAGTTTAAGTCGATGTATTTTTTTTAAATATAGAACGTGCTCTTACAATGTATTCGTTATGTGATCGTAGAACGATTTGTATATTGTTCCTTTTAAAGAGACCTCATGTGCCATGGAAAATTGCGTATTTTTCATTGTTATGAAATTTTTGAAAATGTTTTAACATAAATTATGTCCAGAATTGTGTATATCGTTAGCATGTATGTCTGTCTCGTTTACATACGTTCCATTTCTCCTTTCTTTTATATTGGCTGGCTTTTATCTAACTTGTCCATTCAAACAAGTTAGCACATATATATAATTATAAATTACTTTACTTTGTAAAAGGTGACGATATGAGTCTAGAATAAATCCTGATATTTTTTATGTAATTCTTCCTATATATAGTTAACAGGTCTACATTTAAAGTGCGGTTGTATGCCTTGCCATGATATCCTATGATTGTGCTATGAGTCAATGAGGTGGTTCATATTCTGCTGGTTTGTGTAAGAAATAAGAAATGAGATAGATAAATGGAAGAGATTTAAAGTCATAATTAGTTTAAGAAAACACACATGAAGGTAATGAGATAGGCGATAAAGGTTAAGAAAGCGTAATGTCTTGTATAATTATAATTAAATTACATTCCATGTAGGTGTCAGTACAATGTACAAGAACACACTTCAATGTAAGATGATAGATACTAAAAGAGAATAGGACAGTTTATATAAGAATCTGACAGTTATTGTAATGTTTCAAACGTTGTGGAATTGAATAAAAGAAAACATGATAATCAGTGTACAAAAATGATTTCGTTAGGAAGTCAGACTTCACGAGGAGAGGTCCCAATAATTAACCAATATTCCCCAGACTGCTTCGAAGTACCCTTCATAACACCTATGTAAACGGCGCACGTCACCTCCAGAATCTTACATAAAATAATATTTTTCTACAAGTGAGTGTATGGAACAACAACTATTTATTTAAAAGAACCATCATTAATTGGGTCTCATTACATGAATCTCCTAACAGGATCCAAACCTGATCAGACTTGATCTTACTTGTTGTAACCTGCTGCAGTGGTATACTCGTTTTATTCTTACAGAACAAAATATCACAAAAAATAAGGTGTTAAGGCCACCTCCAAGTACCACTAACATTCAAAAGATTAAGCCGCCTGACCTTTATATAGAGAAATGAGGACCAGGATCGCGATAGGAAATCACATACCGCTTGCACATAGTGGATGTATTGTTTGTATATTGTTTTGTTGATGGTATGTACATTGTATTTCATTTAGTAAGAGGTCAGTACTGAAAACGTGTTGTAACTTTCTATCATTATTGCAGATTATTACAGATTCTAAATAAAATATTCTTATATTCTCTTTATGTGTTTCGTTGTGCAGTGTTCTCCAATATCACCCAACACAACAACTACATGTGGCGTCTATGTTCCTTTTTATTCATGGTCATTTCAAAATCATTAAATACATCTTCGATCTTTCAACAGACTACTGGCATACCTATGGGAACCAGCTGCGTCCCTCTGTTGACTTACTTGTTTTGTTTTTATTGAAGGCTGAACATATTGAAGAGCTTATCAAAACAGGTTACAAACCCATTGCAAAATCGTTTGATTTTATTTTCAGTTATACTGATGACGTCTTGTCTTTAAAAATCAAGAAAATAATCGACCTCGTCCACCAGAATTTATGATCACCCGCTTTTCTCGATATTTTCCTAAATCGAAACCAACATGGACAGCTTTCCGCCAAGTTATATGATAAATATGATGTTTTCAATTTCCCCATGGTGAATTTTCCATTTCTGGATAGTAAGACCCTGCATCTCCATTCACATTTATATTTACATGTCGCAGCTGATTCGATATTTGAGGACATGTTCCCATTATCATGGTTTTCGTAACAGAAGTCGTCAATTGACTGATAAACTCTTAACACAAGGTCTTAAAAGATGCCGCTTGATGGAAATGGGGACGTTTGACTGTCGGCGTAGTGATCTTATTGGGAAACATTCTATCTCTTTGTGCGATATAAAAATGGACGTGTTTGATGTTAGTTAGTTTGCCTGATCATTTGAGAACGTAACGTTATTAACTTGTTTTTGTATGGCGGGTGTCGTCAATGAAGCAGACGACTCTTACAATCTTTCGGAACAGCTGGTGTTATTTCCCTTGTACTTTTTTATGAGTATCCGTTTAAATGTTTCTTTTTGTTCATATTTTGTCTTTATGGTATTGAATTTGAGTCTGGATTATGATTATGTTGACACAGTCACATACACATGTAATACACATAAACTGACTCGCAACACAATGTTTACCACTGAATTGGTCAAAGCAGAAAATGATTAATATGTAAGATCAAAATGTATGTTCTTCAATAGTGGTTGGAAATATTATATCTGTACTAAACCAACTCTCGAAAGCAATTCATGGTACTGAAAAAAGTAAATAAATGCGAAAAATCTTTAAATCTTTGAAAACTTTGAAAATAGTATCTGATATACAATCAGTTCAATGTTGTTTAATTCCTCCTCGACTTCGGTAGCTGATATACAAGCAGTTCAATGTCATTAAATTCCTCACCGACTTCAGTGGCTGACATACAAGCAGTTCCTTGTCATTAAATTCCTCCCCGGCTTATGTAGCTGACATACAAGCAGTTCAATGTCGTTAAATTCCTCACCGACTTCAGTGGCTGACATACAAGCAGTTCCTTGTCATTAAATTCCTCCCCGACTTATGTAGCTGACATACAAGTAGTTCAATGTTATCAAATTCAAGCTCCACTTCACCAGATGATCCTCAATTGACAAACATTTCAATATCACTAGTCTTGAAAGACATTGCGATATATACTGATATGGATATCTCTTGATCAAGTACAAATTTATATCTATATGATGATATGTTTGGCCGTAGCTGCCATCGAATCTTCAAACCTGATCAACAGGGTTTTAACTTGGCGTTGTCGTATTGAAGAATCCACGGTTGTCTACTGTCTACCATTGGCTTTGAAGAAGTCGTTGAAGAGATCATTTAACATTATCCATGTGTGTATTTGGTCAGAACACACTAGGAAAGTAAGAGACTGTATCGTCTGCTGCTATTTCTATCGTTTCCTTTATATATGGAAGACAAAAGTCCACTGCCCAAATTGTTTGGGTAGCTTCTAGATGTACATCACTCTCTTATTAACTGTATCTATGTGGTTTGGTTAAATATGTGGTATACTGTCGTGGGCAACCGACGGACACCCAACAGAGGTTGTACAAAAGACACAGAGGGAAATATGAACATTTAATCCAAATCAACAAGTGATAGAGGAAATCTATGAAACAGCTGTTTTGTCCTTCTAGGGCTCGTCACGTGACGTCAAGAGCCTAAAGGAGGCAAACCGACACTATTAATGCCGAAGCGTTGGACGGGCAGCAGCAACCACCATTTTTAAAGACTCCGGTATGTCTCGGCC